TATAAAAAGAAGATAGAAGAATAACTAATACAAAATGACAATAAATTTCAAATTAATAAAAATCAATATTTGAATAAGAAAGTTTATCAGATAAAGAATGAAATAATAATAGTTTAATATAAATGAAAGAGAAACACAAAATAAAAGATATTTAGATACATTTTATCATATTAAAAAGCATATAAACTGAAAACATAAATATATATATAAATTATATTAAAATATTTCAAAATACTATTTCAAATAACACAAATAATAAAAAGTATGAGTGAAAGATGGAGAATAAGATATAAATATAAAGAAGAAATAAAAGAAGTTAAAATAAAAAATATTACTTTACATGGATTCACTATCTCTCTCTTATTTATAGTATAAATGAATATAATCTGTGATCTGTTTGATAAAATAAATGAAAAATGATTAAAATTATCACACGTATTATATTGATGATGTCAAATTAACTAATTACACAAAAAAGGAATAGAAATAACAAATCAGAAAATAAATGATACAATTGAATCAATATGAAAATAAATATAAATAACTATGGAATATCAAAGAAATATAAACATACCAGATAACATGTATACTATACTATTAGTATTTGAAAAATATAAATATAAATATTTAAGAGTTTATCAAATTACAAAAAATGATGAATCATGATATATAAAGAAAATAATTAACAATATAAAAGAATGATTAGAATAAATGAAATGATAATAATAAAAGAATTATATTAATAGAATAAATACATAAATAATACATAAATTTACATATAGTGGTTCTGTTGTTAAATAAACAATTATGAAATTAAATGAATTAGATAAAATGATAAGAAAATGATTAAAAGAAATATAATATAAATACGTTTACTAATAGATTATATGTAAATCAAAATAATAATAGATAATGATTAAAGAGTGAAATAGATGAATAATAAAATAATAAGAACAAATATGTATTTCAGAATGAAAAGATGAGATGAAATAGGAGATATGATAAAGTTAAATGAAAAAAGGAATAATGAATAGATTGTATAAATTATGTTGAAAAGGAATAAATAAGGAAGAAATTAAAAAATGAATGAGGAAGAAGAAAAAGTAAAGATAAAAATAAAATAATAAATATATAAAAGATAAATTTCAAGAAGAATATATTAATAAATGGAGAAATAAGAAAATAATGAAATTTTAAAATGATTTAAAGATAAAACGACAAACCAAAAGAAAACAATTAAAATATTGAAAAGAATTAATATTCTAAGGAATATATTCAAATAAAGAAAATACAAGAAAAAGTAATGTGGGCAAATGAACCAAAATATTCATTGTGTATTCCGTAATAAAATATCAACAATAAATCATATCATTCTCATTTGTATAATCAGTAAAAAAATCACAGATAAATAAACATGCTAAAATGAGTACATATGGAGTGGTTTAAAGATTAAATAAGAAATATATAGAGATGAAGACATGAGAGAAAAAGAAGAAAATACAAAGAAATTAATAATAAGAGGAGAAGAATTAGGAAAAATGAACGAAAAATAGAGATAAAATATTATGATTTTGAATCAAGAAATAATAAATAAAAATGAAGTTTTCATAAAAGACCATATATTTATATAATATATTTAAAGAAGAGAGAAGTATTAATCATAGATATGACAATAATAAGAGATAAGAACATAAGTAAAGTATTTATAAATAAAATATGTGTATAAAATTACAAGAACATATTATAAAAATAGAAAGATTAATAAGAATAATAATTATCCCATTTGTAATAATAATAGGTTAATTGATAAATAAAGAAACAGTTAGATTATTAAGAAGTGAAAGAATTAAAATTGGTGTGAAATAATGATAAAAGATATTATAATATCAAATATGAAAGATCTTATGATATACTGAAATGATCATTGTGGAGAATACAGAGATGTAAAAGAACACGAAGAAGTAAACTCTACAGAGAGTGAAGAATGTGAAGAAATTCTCACCTAAACAACACATTAAAATTATTAAACCTTAATTTATTTATTATTATCATTTTAGTTTCATTTTATCATTTCTTGTATTTTTTCTTCATTTCTTGTTTTAATTTCTATTCATTTTCTTTTATTTCTCAATCAACTTTTCTTAAGTATCTTCTGTCCTTTCTTCTTTTTCTTGTTTTTATATTTACAATATTCTTTTTATCTTTTAATAGATGTTTATTGTTTATATACATAATATTAATTTCATTTATGGATAAAATATTCTTTTTCAAATTGAATACGGTGTTCTTTTGATATTGTCTATTACAATACCATTCTCTTATCATTACATTTAATATTCATTTTATCTCTTCTATTTCTTGTTTTTAAAAATCAAAGAGAATTACTATTTTCAAGCATATATGATCATAAAGAACATTGTATCATTGTTAATTAATTATTTGTTCTTCTTCACTTATTAATATTCATCAATTTTAAATAATTATTCAAATATAACTTGTTGTAATTTTTATAACTATTTTGTGGTGCTTGACTCATAATAATTTCCTCTCTCTTAATGTAAAACGTATAATAATGAAAATTAAAAATATAACAAATATAAAATTAATATATCCAAATAATGTTAAATTATTAGGAATCACACTTATTGTTATTCAATGTTATGATTAGATGAAATATTTGAATTATGAATTGTTTGTGCATTTATTCCTTTAATTCAATAAAATGATTTGATTAAACCATCTTTTTGTAAAATTGTTTATTAAATAAATTAAATAAAATTGTTAAAGATAACAATGTTGTAGTGAACTAAAATGAATAATAGAAGAAGAATAGAAATTATATAATAAATATTTTTTATTCATTGATTACTATGCAACAAGATTTAAGAATTATTATAAATCTTTTAAATCATCATTAGAACAATATATATTAAATAATATTCTCACAAATATTAAAATACCAATCAATGAATATGAATTGTTTTATTGAATTAATATTTATAATAGAGTATTTTCATTTAATATCTCTACTATTCTATTTGTAATTCATTGTTTTATATTAGATTATTGTTAACAAATAAATAATCAATTTGTTATTTATATGAAATGTATTATTTGTAAATTCAAATAATAAAGAATGTACACCACCAATACATTAAATGTTATTATTTTATTATTGAAGAGTATTATTA